CACACACCCTTTCTCCAGCGGCTCCACGCGGCCCTCCCCGCCGGACCCACAGATTGGGACACTTCAGCGGGTGACTCCTTCATTGCAGCCGGCGTGTCCACAGGAGCCTTGTGCCGTGCGTTGCGCGGCTCCGCGGGTCAGCGCGCCGTCGGGTCCTCGGGCGCGGCCATCACTGGGGCTGTGCTGGCACTCGCGATGGGGCCGGCGCTGACCTGGGCTGGCGCTGGGGTCGGGGCCGTGGCCACTGCGGGGGCCGCGGGCTTGTCGGCCGTCTCTCCAACGCGCTGCTCGGCCGCCTTGTCGGTCGTCACGCCCTCGCTCGCGGCTTTGTCCGCCTTCGGGCCCCACCTGGCCCCCAGGGTTTCGGTGGGGCTGCCGGGGCCGGGCCAGGTCGGACTGGAGACGGAGGCGCGGGCGGCCGTGACTTCCGCCGCGGGACTGGCGGCCGTGGGCGCGCTCGCAGAGGCCCGGGCCGCGGTGGGGGACGGCATCTGGCGGCAGAGGAAGTGTCGGCGCCCCGGCGCTGGGCTGGGCGGGGAGTGCGCGGCACGGCACGTTGCATCACAGAGCCTCTGCCGGCTCTGAGCAGCCGCGCCAGGGAGCAGGTCGAGGTCAGCCAATCCTCAAGCCTCCACCCTTCCCAGGAGTCACCTCCACGTGGGCTCTGAGTAAATGCAAGTAACTACACCTCACCTCCCCAGATCTCTCCCCGGCCTGTGGCCAATAAAGTAGGCATAAAGCCAGTTTCTCAAGTTGGAGTCCCTGGGACTGGGACACAGATCCCAGGATTTCCAGGAGGGAGCACTGATGGCTGTGGGAGAACAGTCTCCAGAAAGGTAGAACCTTTATGCTGAACCTGCCCAGGGCTTGGAGATCTGCCTCAGGAGCTGCTCTGCCCCCTTACTAGCCTGGTAGCCCCAGTAGCCTCAGTACCCTGCACCCAAAACTTCCCCCCCCCATGGCAAAGCTGCTGGACCACAAGACCCTCGCTAGCCTCTTGGGTGTGAACATGAGCAGATGCTGCCCTCAGTGGCAAAGAATCTGTTGCAGTAGAGCGAGCGCCAATACGAGACTAGCCACGGGGCCCAGTGGAACATTTGGCAGCCACCACTGTCCGAAACCTCCTTTGGGTGCTGTGGTGATACACTTTGCTGGTTCCCGGACTCACTGTCTGCTGGTCCTCCTCCTCCACCCCTAACGAGACCTTTCTGCTCTGCCACTCCCCTTGGGTGTGTTTATCCAGGGCCATGGCTCCTGCCAAGGTCAAACTCCTTATCAGTCCAGTTCTCTTTCCTGAGCCCCAGACCTGGAAAATCACCACCATTCATGGGAGGGCAGGGGTAAGGTCATGTCACACTCCTTAGAAATTCCCCAGTGGTGCCTCTCTCCAAGTTCCTTGAACAAAATGCTCCTCAGTCTGGCCCTGCTCCCTACCTTCTCTTCATCCTCACCCCTCTAAGCATTAATCCCACGCCTCTCTGTTATGCACATCTGTCCCCCACCCCCCAGGGCCCCTAAACACTATTTGCTGTTCCTGCAATCCAGGTCACTTCTCCAGCCAGCTTCCTGACCTCTGCTGTGGCAGGCACCATGTCAGTCCACAAACCCCTCTGCTGAGCATCTGAACCAATTGCTGTGCTCCAGTGCCTGTTTTTCCTGCAGGCCCTCACTTTGCAAGAGGACTTTTCCCGCGCTGGGACAAGTTTTGACGTACCTCATTGCTCCCAGGGCTGGAACACGGGGCATGTGGAACAGAATTCATTACTCATCTGTCTGTGAAAGGCAAGTCCCTCCACCCTACCCCTGACCTCATCCCTTGCTTCCCAGATGGCGAGGGGAGGGAGAGGCAGGGACACCACCTTGGGAGTCTGGGTCAGAGGCCCAGGGAAGGTGGGGAGACAACTTCCCGGCTGAAGCAGGGGATCCCCCAGCCAACTGGGGCAGAGGCAGCTTACAGGTCAGAGCAAGTGTTGACCTCAGGTGACCACTCAAGGGCTATGGCCCAGGAGCTAGCACAGAGGCAAGCCTGGCATTAAAGATTCATGGGAGCAGCCCCGCCAGGCCCAGACAATGTAGAGCCCAGGCCAGGCCTGGGCAGGCCCAGCGATGGGGGAGGAGAGGTTTGGTTGGGTGCAGAGCCTGCTCCTAGCCATTCTGGTTCCTTCACTGCCTTGCTGTGGAACATGGACAAGTGGTTGTCCTCTGAGCTGCAGCCTCTCCCCACCGTGAGAGCTCATGGCTGTTCCTGAGAGCAAGGTGACAAGCCAGGTCTCCACCCATCTCTCCTCAGGGTCTAGAAGCGTCCAGTTCTAGAGGCCGGGGCAGAGGCCGGGCAGCTTCTAGAGCTAGATCTTAGGCACTTGTGACAGTCTGGGGAACATGCAGGTGTGAGGGGCCTCCCTGGTGCTGCCCTGCAGGGCCTGAGCCGGCCAGTGACAGTCACCAAAAAGAGCTGCTTGGCTCTGTCACCATCTCAGTACATTTCTACCCCTTCTCCCAAGGGTATGGATTTTTAAAAATCCATAAACCCTCAGGCTCCCACCTGCAAGCACTGCATGGGGATTTTAGGACTTCTGAGAAAGGGCTCATGGGTGACCTGGGGCTGTACTGAGCTTTTGAGGTTACACATGGGTCCCTGGGTCTGAGAGCGGACAGGCTCTCTCAGCTACTCAGGGCTTGAAAGAGAAGAAAGAAAACACCTGGGAAATCTTATTCCCTTTATTCTCTTCAACTAATCAACATGACCACCGGTGACACAACACTGTTATCGATACACAACACTCAAAAGTGGGGCCTCTCTTCACTCCAGCGGGACAAGTCAGGTGAGTGGGGCTTCCCTAATGGAGGCAAAGGAGCCTGGGAGCTGCTCACCTCAGGGACAGGTATCCTGGAACCCTACCTCGCAGTTGTGATGGTTTCAGGTTCCCCCCCATTCAGGCTTCATGCCCAGTTCTTGTGAGTTCTGATCTGACCTCCATATCCACAGCAGTGTCAAGTTTCACCCTTTGCTCAGATCAGTCCTGCTCTCCCCTCTGCTTTCACCAATGACTCTGTGACCCTGTATATTGGGTGCCTCCACCGGGCACTTCTGGAGTCTGGGGCTTGCCTGGAGTTGGACAAGAGAATTTGGCTACACTACACTTCAAGACTCAGTTTGGGTAGGCAAGTGCCGTAACCCCAGGACCTTTGCCTGAGCATTATCAAAGGGATTCTGGGTACTGCCATCTCTCCCAGCCAGCTCCTTGCTAGATTCCCTCCCCTACACATGCACAGATACAGCTCCCTCTGGGGAGGAAGCATCTAGCTAAGGAAGTTCAGGGTAGTGGCCACAGAGAACAGGTCACACCCCAAAGCCAGGTCATACCCCAAAGCTCTTCAAATCTACCCCTTTCTTGTCATGAAACTCCAGACCCCAACTAAATTGTGTCCACATCATCCATTCAGTACCAGAGCCCACAGCCCTGGTGCTCACGCATCCCTACAACATGCGAGCATCCATCTACGTACGCTACACCTAGTCCTCAAGAGGCCTACACCTGGCCTTCGACCACGCCGATGACCCCTCCACAGGCCTGAGCCCCAGGAATCTTTTGGAAACAGATTCCTCAGGCCTGTTTCTGAGGGGACCTGCTTCTAGCTTTACAAGGGGTTTGTCTCTACAACTGAAATTTCTTCTGCTACCATCTTAGTGGGAAAAAAAATCTGCTTTGACTTGGAGGACTGTCTCTTCCTCAGTCTCATCGGGACTCCCCTTTATTGACGCTTCTGCCAGTCGGAATGCGGCCGGCAGGTTCCCACTCCCCTCAGCAGTGCTTTCAGACCGGGCCCTTTGTTGGGGTGGGGCAGGGCTTCATGTAGATGTTAACAAGGGTCTCCCCACAATCCTCTGAGGCCTGCCTTTTCTCCCAGGCAGGCCTCCATTTTCCCCCCCTACAGTGTTCTAGATTTTGATCCTTTGAATTTAAGGGTCATACCTCTGGGGCAGAATAGATGAAGGACTTTCATCTTTTGAACCTTCGGGCAATGGAATCAGAGGTCCCTTTCCACAGCTTTGTAGGAATCCGGGTCAGTCCAGGGAAGCAATTCCTGAAGGACCACCTCGCCGGGCATCTCAGTTCTCTTACCCCAGCATGGGGTCACTTCCTTTTGGACCCAGCCCTGGACGGAGTCCTCTCCTTCCTTAAGGGTCTCCGGGGTTAAGGGATGGAGTTCTTGTTACAGCTGTTTCGAGAGTTTTCTCTCTCCAATCATTTTATAGGGCAAGTCTCTTTCCCCCACCACAGGCACCCAGTCATGTTAGCAGGTTTGACTGGGTTAATGAAAATGTGTAACGGTGTGTGTGGTGCATGAGGACAGGAGATGGGCCTGGCAGGGGAGTGTGCTTCTCATCCTCCAGTTTCCCTCTGAAGAGGGAGAGCTGCTGAGGAGAGCAGCCAGTGGGTAGAATCTCTCCCCAGACCATGACCAGGTTGGGTCATCACCTCAGAGGGCCCAAGCACCCAGGTAAGGAAGTGGTCAGGCCTCGATGCACTCTTCTGGGACCCACGGTCCAGTCTGCAGGGCATTCGGACACCCACCCTATGTGCAGGCCGCACATCCGGCAGCAGCCTTGCTAAAAAGGTGCTCAGTGAGTGAGGCATAAGAGAGGTTGTTGCTAATTGGAACTGTCCACCTGCGGCCTCGTTGCCAGGGAATCCACACGTGGCTTTCGTCGACTGGAGGAGTCTTGGGAGGCGCTACTGACACGCAGGCCTTGAGTCTCTGAAGGGCTTTATTCTTTGGAGGTTGACTAGCAGCGGTTCTCTCCTTCCATGGAGGACAGAAGTCGAGGAAACAGGCTGCCATTGCAGCAAGGCTGGTGGCAGTTAGATTTCAGGAGAAACCTCCTGACAGTGAGACCTGAGAACATGGCTGGGGGGACCCTCCATCCCAAGAGGCCTCTGAGTTGAAGTGTCCGGCTGGGCTGGAGAAGGGTCGCCCTGCCTAGCTGGGGTGGGGGGTGGGGGGGGCGGGGAGTGGGGGAACCCTGGTGGCCTGAGCCGGGTCTGCTTGCACTCGCAGTTTAAGCTCCTGAAAACAGGGAAGACTGGGCAACCCCAGGGTTTGCTGGGTCCCATCTGAACAGTCTGTTCACCTTGGTTTGCTTCCCTCAAAGCACTCTAGCAGAAGTCCCCCCACGCTTCCCCCGAATTTTTTGTAGTGGCTTCCCAGTGTTCTTACACTTGAAGCTTTTATGCACCTCAAATTTCAGTCTTTAAAAAGCCTGGATGTCATTTTTTTCCTTCCCCATGTTTGGGTTCTTCCTGGTACAGAATTCCATACACAATTTAAGATGGGCCCCATACCCCACGGAACCCCCAGCTCAATGAGCTGGACTTGCTCTTCCCAGTTCCTGGGTTGTTTGTGGGTCTGAGGACTCTTCGCCACTGATTTTTCTCCTTTGTTTTCTTTTCCAGTCCAACCAGCAACCACCCTACCCCCTAGCTGAGCCTTTTCCTCAGCGTAATTGTCCAAGGTTTCCGGGAGAGACATGCCCCCCCAACTCCAGCAGGAGAGGACACCGTGGAACCAGTTCACGAGCGGTCTGCTCCCCCTTCTGAGGGCTACCCCTCCCAGGTCAACGCCATCGCCGTACGCCCCGCACTCCCTGACTCGACTGCTTCACAAGGACTCTGAGAGGGTTTTAGAGGGCTGTCTAGAGACATATTGGGACCTCTTCCTACAATTAATAGGGCTTTTATCCACTATGGTTTATAGGGTTTTTCGGCTACAGACTTAAAGGACTTTTTTTCCTACATATTTATAGGGTTTCTAACCCAACAGTTTTTCTCTACTGCCTTGCAAGTGGTTCCCACCAACAATTTTATAGGATTTTTCATCACGGATGTAAAAGCACTATGTTTTACCCCAGGGTTTTTATCCTCCACTTCTCTACAATCTCATAGGGTTTTTCTCCTTTCCCCACGTAATTTCTGGGGTGATCCAGTGTTCCTCTCAGGAGAGAGAGGCCCCTGCTCTGCAGACCCGTTTCACAGGGAGACCCCCGGGTGGCAGCTCCTGTGGAGGAGAAGGGCCGCGACCTCTGCGAAGCCATCGCCACACTCAGGGCACAAATAGGGCTTTTCTTCCAACAGGGTTTTGGGGGGTTCCCCTTCCCCCTGGCTGCTGCTCCCTGTGGAGGTGGGGGCTTCTCCCTCTTCTTCCTGGCTTGTGGACTGGGTGGCTGGCTCTGGAGGGGGGTCCTCGGGTCTGGGGGACTTTTCTTGCGTGTGGGTCTCCTGATGCCGGAGGAGGGCCACGCGATCGGGGAAGGAGGCCCCACAATCTGAGCAGCTGTAGGGTCGGGCCCCCAGCGGGCTCCTGAGGTGCTCCAGGAGGACAGAAGAGCTCTTCCCCAGCTCCGCGCCCTTCTGGCCTTTCCCGCCTGCATGGACTTTCTGGTGCAGCAGCAGCTCCGAGCTGAGGCCAAAGCTCTTTTTGCATTCAGGGCATTTAAAGGGCTTTCCACTTAGGAAGGGACTGGGCCCGGCCCCTTCCCCAGTCCTGTGGTCAGGGAAGAGAAAGGGCTTCTCGCTGCCGTGGGTGAGCTGATGTTGGAGGAGCACAGCGCGATCCTGGAAGCTTTCTCCACAGTGTGAACAAATGTAGGACTTGGAAGAGAGCAGCCCCAGCCTCTGGCTGAAGCTCTCCTGCCCATCGGGCATTTTTAAGGGCTGCCCTGGGGGGTCAGCTTTGCCCTCTGAAGCACCTGGATGGGAATTCCCTCCAAAAGGGAGCCTGGGGGAGCGGAACTGAGGTGGTTTGGGGGCCGGGTGTGCAATGAGGCCATCTGCGTTTTTGTAAGGGTTTTCTCCGATGTGGATCCTCTGGTGCTGCATGAAGATGCCCTCATCGTTGAACCCCTTTCCGCAGACCAGACACTTGTGTGGTTTGGCTCCGGGGGGCGGGGTCATCAGGGCCGGGTCCCCGAGCCCCAGCAGGGTGTCACCCTGAGCCCTTCGGGCGGGGGTCTTCCCCCGTTCATGGATCACCCTATGCTGCTCCAGCTCGTGGGCCTCCAGGAAGGCCTTCCCGCAGTCGGAGCACACGAAGAGGTTCTCGTCCATGTGGGTGCGCACGTGGGTGATGAGGTTGGAGCTCTGGCTGAAGCTCTTGCCGCACTCGGGGCACTTGTACGGCTTCTCGCCCGTGTGCGTGCGCCGGTGCTGGATGAGGTGCGAGCTGCGGATGAAGCTCTTGCCGCAGTCCGAGCACTTGTAGGGCTTCTCGCCCGTGTGGATGCGCTGGTGGCGGATGAGGGTGGAGCTCATGATGAAGCTCTTGCCGCAGTCGGCGCAGATGTACGGCCGCTCCCCGCGGTGGATGCGCTGGTGGTTGATGAGGTTGGAGCTGACGCTGAAGCTCTTGCCGCACTCGGGGCACTTGTAGGGCCGCTCGCCCGTGTGCGTGCGCTGGTGCCGCAGCAGCGTGGCGCTCAGCGTGAAGGTCTTGCCGCACACCGGGCACTTGAAGGGGTCCTCGCGCAAGTGAGTCCGCTGGTGCTTGATGAGGGTGGAGCTGTGGCCGAAGCTCTTGCCGCACTCCAGGCACTCGTAGGGCTTCTCGCCCGTGTGCGTGCGCTGGTGCTGGGTCAGCTCGGAGCTCTGGATGAAGCTCTTGCCGCACTCGGTGCAGCGGTAGGGCTTCTCGCCCGCGTGGATCTTCTGGTGCTTGAGAAGGTTGTGGTTCTGGCCGAAGCGCTTGCCGCACTCGGGGCACTTGTAGGGCTTCTCGCCCGTGTGCGTGGCCTGGTGCTGGATGAGGTCGGAGCTGCGGTAGAAGGCCCGCCGGCACTCGCCGCACTTGTAGGGCTTCTCGCCGGTGTGCGAGCGCTGGTGCTTGATGAGGTTGGTGCTCTGGGTGAAGGCCTTCTCGCACTCGGTGCACTTGTAGGGCTTCTCGCCCGTGTGCGTGCGCTGGTGCTGCACCAGGTTGGAGCTCCAGCTGAAGCACTTGCCGCAGTCGGGGCACTTGTAGGGCTTCTCGCCGGTGTGCGTGCGCTGGTGCTGCACCAGGTGCGAACTCTGCGTGAAGCTCTTGCCGCACTCGGAGCAGGTGTTGGGCCGCTCGCCCGTGTGGATGCGCTGGTGCCGCAGCAGCTTGGACCACTGGCTGAAGCTCTTCCCGCACTCGTTGCAGATGTAGGGCTTCTCCGCCCCCGAAGGGCGGCCTTGCACCAGCTCGCGCAGGCTGGGCTCGCTGGCGGGGACCACAGCGGGGCTGTTCCACGTGGTCAGGGTCCCCCACTGCCAGTTGGCCGCACAGGCCTTGGTCCAGTCAGATGGGGTAGGGACTGCCTCCGGGTTTGGGGGTTCCAAGGAGTCACTGGGGTGACCCACTGGGGCTGGAGCGTCCTGGGAGACGGAGGGATCCTGGGAGGGTCTCTCCAGGGGCATCTCTGGTGTGTCCTTGAATTCTGGACTCTGAGCTGGATCTCCCAAGATGACCTCCTCCCCTGAACTTTCCTGCTGAGGGCTCTCCTCTTCGTTCCCACTCTCGGCACCTACAGAGAGAAAGGGAGTCTCCAGCCCCCATTGCCTTTAGAATATGGGGTCGGGTCTCTTCCCTCCCATGGGTTTCCCCCAGAGTCTGGGCCCCTCCCTGAACTGTGGCCACTGTCTTGTCAGGCCCCGCAGGCCCTTCTTGTGCCCCTCACCTGTGTGAGCAGCATTTGGGCTCTCTTCAGGACCCTGCAGATCTGGGCCCCACAAGGCGGTCTCGGGCTCCATCCCAGAGCTCAGGACTGTCAGTTCCAGGGACCCTGAGAAGAGAGATGAGCACACAATGGGAGCCCCTCTCCCACCAGCCTGGGCTCCGGGGAGACCCCTCCCGCGTGCCCACTCCCAGTCCCCACTCCTGTGAGCCTCCGGTTCCCTGTTTTAGGCTTGGGTTCTCACCATCGCCCCCCTGCAGGCCTGATTCCTGCTCCAGATCTTAAGATCACAAGGAAGCAAGTAGGTGAATTTAAGAATGTAATTAAAAGCTCGTCAGTCAAAACCCTTTGAACCCAGACTGGGGGCTGGAGAGGTACCTGACACCCACAGGGGAAGGAGCTCTCACCCCACACCTCTGATGCCCAGAGGCTGGGAAACCTGTTATTTTCCTAATCAGAGGAAGCTCATTAAGACTCTAATTTTCCTCCTTAATGGGGCTGCTAATTGGGACCAATAAACTTTCCTTATGAGCCCCACAGAGAACTGAGACTGCCTGGTACACTTAAAGAGTTAAAAAAAAAAAAAAAGGGAAAACAACCACCCCAATTTCCCTGAGGGGACAGGGGCCCTCTCCGTTATCCAAGCACAGAAAGTTCAGGCGGGAGGGGGGAGGGGTGGTTTAAAGCTAACAGGGGTTTCTGCAGAAGTTCCCTGGAGAGGTAACTGGAAAGGAACAGAGAGAAGGGATACAGGGCCTGCTGTGATGTCATCATGAGCTCACCCAGTCCTGCCCACAGTCTGGGGAGCAGACCCAGAAATCATGTTGTCCGTTTTACAGATCAGGAAGTCAGTGCCCAGGGAGATTTCTCCAAGGTCATGATCTGGGAAGTGGTAGAGCAAAGCCCAGAAATGCCAAGCTCTGTGTCTGGCTGGCCCCTGCCTCTCAGAGAGGGCGATGACCTTGGGACTTGCATGAAGCTCGTAAATGCAGGCTGCTGGCAACTGACAGGTGAGGAGGAAAGCTCAAGCGGCCGGTGGTCACGAGGAAGGGATGGGGAAATTCCTGGGAGCGAGAGGTCTCCTGAGCTGTAAAAGGAGGGGTGGGACCCAGTGACTCGGCCCGGCAATCTGTGTCCGGGAACCCACCAGCGCCTTCCACCACCGGCCCATCCTGGCCCTTTCTTCTACTCCATTTGTTGTTTCGTTGCTGCTGTATCCCGTGCTGAGGACAGAGCCTCACACATGCCAGGTGCTCAATAAATTTTGCTGAGTGATCAAAAGGTGAAGGCATGAGATGCTCCCTGCTCCTGGAAGACCGCTCTGGTCCAGTGCCTTTAAAGGTCTGGTTGCAAGGGGGTGGCAGCAAAGAAACAGGCGCTAGAGCAGCCTCCTGGTCAAACCCGGCCAGCGGTCACTCCCTGGTCTGATTCCAGAATGAGGCAATAGGGCCACAGAGCTCAGGGCTAGGAGGGGAACTTCCCACAGTGGTTGGAAGCCCGAGGGGGCCTGGGCTTGGGTGGGACGGGCACTGTGTGTATGGGGACACTGGTGCAAGGAGACATGCCAAGCGCTGTGCGGAGGCAGCAGAGGTGAGGCCGCTGGAGCAGGCGCTAGCTGAACCTGCCGAACAGCAGGAGAGGGGAGTTAGCTTTTAGGAAGTAGATTAATTTCATCTCTGCGGCTCCTCTGACTTGAGAACCCCCCTCCCCCACCTCTGTCCAGGGGACGGTGGAAGCAGGGGCCTCCCCTAAGCTGGGGTGGGCTTGACTGCTCCCCGCGGGCCTGGGAGGGCGCCTGGCTGGCTGCTGAGGACAGGTACGCGCTCAAGCACCTTGGTTGTCTCGAGAAAGTCACGCCCAGCGGCCCAGAGAAGGGAAGGGGTTAATGAGAGGCCGACATGGGGTATGAAAGTGGGGAGACCAGCGAGGCAAGAAGTGTTTGGAGCTGACCCCGGCCCAGGCCCCTGAACAGCGGCCTCGGCCCTCGCGCCAGCCCCCCGCGGAGGGAGGGCGGGGAGAGGCGAGGTGCGAGCGCGCCCAGGGTGACCCTGACGCGGCGGCGGCGCGGGCGGGCGGCCACCCGCCCCGGCCCCCCCACGCCGCGCCGGCCGAGACCCCGGGCGAGAGCTGCAGCCGCTCCCCGCGACCCTCTCCTCGGCTCCCCCCGCAGACCCCGGCATCCTCGCCCTCATCCGCCCCCGGGGCACCCCGGGTTCCCGGCCCTCCCGCGGCCCCCCGGGCCCCCCGGCCCGCCGGGCCGAATTCCCTCTTCCCAGAATGCCCACGCCGCCCCTCCCCCACAGCCAGACCCTCGCGCGCTTCCCAGAATCCTCGGCCCCCGCGGCCCCGGCCCGGCCCCCACCCTGCCCGGCCGGCCCGCGGGAGGGGGCGCAGGCCCGGGCCCGGCCCCCGCCGCCTGCGCCCCATTGTTCCCCCGCGGCCGTCCCGGGCCCTCCAGGCCACCCCCCTGGAACCCAGGCGTCCCCAACTCACGGCTCTGGGGTCTGGGAAGAGCCGGAAGGCAGAATCCAGCCCCAGGGGACTTAACCCCTTCAACGCCCTGCCTCGGGGGGCGGGCTGGAGGCCGAGGACTCTGGGGTCCTTCTCCAGGGGTGATCCCAGGCTGAGGACCCGGGGACCAGTTCAGGGTGACTGGGACGGAGCAGGAAGTGACCCCAGCTTCCCGGGCCCCTCTAGCCTGGAGTCAGAGCATCAGCTCTATGGGATTTAACCCTTTGCCTCCCACAGCCTGGGAAAAAAAGAGGGCGGGGGAGCAGGGAGGTGGCAGAGACGACACCCCTCGACACCCCTCGGCCTGTCTCCGGCGGGAGCCGGTTCTTAGGGGAGCCCAGATGCCAGCGAGGGTCTCCGGATTACTGGCTACTCTCCACCTCACCCGGTCGCCCGCAGCAGCTCCAGGAATGCCCTGTCTCCGGTTTGGTGGCTGCTGGTCCCCCGCGGCCTGCCTTTGTTGGGGCTCTGGGGGGCTCAGATGCCTGGGTTGTGAGGCGGAGAAGGGGCTGGCAGGGCAGGTAGACAGACGGCTTTAACGAAATAATAAATTGTGGCAAGGGGAGTTTGGGCTGAGGGAAAAACCCAGCTGAGCAGGATTTGTGGGATCCTGTGTTCTGGGCCCCGACTTCCCCGGGGCTGTGTGTGCTGGCCCCTCTTTCCCTGATAACTCCCCTCAGAAAAAAGGAAACTGAGGCCCAGGAGAGAAGTCAGTGGGGCTCCCTGACCGAGAAGGGCAAGAGCCTCTCCCAGTAGCTCAGGGGACACCCAGCTCCGAGCAGGAGAAAACTTTAAAAACCCAGAGACGTGAGTGGCCTCCCGCAGCCCAACTTATCTGGGCCTCCAGTTCTCGCCGCCCTTTAGTTTGTTTGTAAAGGGCAGGTTTATTAGGAAAAAGAGAGGCCTGCATAGACACAGGTGGGCAGTCTTAGGGCAGGATCTACCCAGTTCTCACAGCCTTTATCTCATTTCCTCCTTACCACAGTCTCCTAAGGCAGGACCTGCATATTAGGCCCATCTTCCAGGAGAGGAAACCAAGTTGTGAGAAATGAGGTTACGTGCTTAAGGCCACATCGTTATTTCAATTGAACACTTTTATATAGTGAAGTCGTGGTTCCTGGGCGTGTGGGGACACTCAGCATTCAATTGGACTTTTTGCTCTCAAGAAGTTTGGTGTGGGGGTGACAGACACAAATTACAGGACAATGTGAAAGGGCTATCCAGAAATGGGAGGGAGTGTGGGGAGGAACAAATCACACGTCAGAAATTGCTAAAGAAGATGCAGTTCCCTGGGTCCACATCGGGGTTCAGTGTGGGCCCCAGAGAAAGAAAGCCCCTGGACCTGCTCACTTCTCAGCACTGTCCCCTTTTACTGCCTTCCTATTTTGGCACATCTCCATCTTACCCCTGACTCCCCTCCCTCTCACCTTTGACCCCTCACTCTTACCCCAACTCTAACCTTTTGCCCCAACTCTAACCATCCTGAGGGAATATCTTCCTGATCACACCTATCCCTGCCCAGCTCTCCAGTGCACACATGTTCCATCAACTCCACCAGGGAGGGGCTTGGTCTCTTGTTCTCACTGCTGTTTCCCCAGTGTCTAGAACAATAACAGGCACATAGTAGGTGCTCAATTTGCACAGTACGTGGATATAGGCCTGATCCTGCCTCATCCATCTCTTTCTGGAACAATTCCCAGACTGGACAGATGGGGCCCAGTTAGGTAGCGCTTCCACTGCTGGGCTGCACGGTCACGTGTTCAGATACCTCTACTCTCCCAACCCTAATGGAAGGAGAAAATTGTAGAAGAGGGATTGGAGAGGCTTGGGGGCCAGAACCAACCCTTGCTATCCTCTCCTCCTGGGGCTGCAAAAGTCTGCCCAGACCCAGGGCCAGGAGTCTCCAGCAAAGCTGCACCCTTGAGGCTCACACACAAGCTTGATTTTTTTTTAAATGAATCAGTTAACACATTAAAAAATCAGTATGTTTCACACAAAAATCCAAATTTCCTGCTTCTTTAGAAAATCCAAAGATGTGGCAACATGACCCAAGTTTTCACGTGCCAACAACTGGCAGGGCAGTACCCTCCTTCTTGAGGAGCACAGACTTTCCAGTTTGTCAACAGGTCCTGGCACTCCTCGTGCCCAGCCGTGAGGCTGGGCGGTAGTCTCAGGATATCAGTGATCCCTCACTGTCCACATTGAACTGCAAGTACTGAAGCTACGCCCGTTAGTCCATGTTCCCCAGGTTCAGACAGTAAATACAAGGATGGCATCTTCAGACAGTTACATTTTCCTTTCTTTTTTTTTTTTTTTTTTAAGATTTATTTATGCAGGGCCTCCCCGGAGGCGCAGCGGTTGAGCGCTGGGTTGCGAAGCTGCCAGCAGCTTCTGCAGCGCCTGTTCAATCCCTGGCTGCTCCCCGGCCACCAGAGGAGGGTCCCACATGGCGCGCAGACCTCTCCTGCCGCCCGCTACTCCCCTCAGCAGTGTACTTCGGTCCTTCTGCCTGCTCTGCTCCCCGCTCTGGCTCTGGTGGATTCTCTCACCCTCCCACGCTTCTGACTGTACCCAATGCTTGTATAAATAAATAAATAAATCTCTAAAAAAATAAAAATAAAAAGACAATTCCATTTTTAAAAAAAAGGTTTATTTATGCATGCAAGAACTGGGGTACAGGCCAGAAGTGTGGGGGGTGAGAGGATTCACCAGAGACAGAGTGGGGAACAGAACAGGCGGATTGACTGAAATATACTGCTGAGAGGAGTAGTGGACGAGTCAGGAGAGGCCTGCTGCGCCATGTGGGTAGTTCCCTGGTTGGGGCTCGAACTCATGCTGCTGTGGCTGCAGATAGCTTCATAGGTTGCATCTTAACCCCTTGTATCACCAGGAAGACCCCGACCATTACATTTTCTATTCTCCATGTGCAGGCTCCAGAGGTCTGCACGTAGCAACTACGTGACCCCAAGGCACGTGCCATTGGTATTATCATTATCGGCAGGACAGAGAAAGTCACTCGGACACAGCTTAGGAGTGATGCTGGATTCAAACCCAGGCAGGCTGACTTGGGAGCCACCATGGCCATGACACTAGGCCTGACTCAAGCGTTTCTGGTTCCAAGGGTAGGTCAGCCTCTCAGGCCTCAGCAGGACCAGTTTGCATATCCGGCTGCTAGGGAGGCAGAGGGTGTGGTCCTGTTGCCTGCAGTCAACTTGCACAGGGGTCTGAAGGAAACTCTCTTGGCAGGGGAATTCCTGGAGGATGAGGATGATTACCCCATGCCTTTCATGGGACAACCCACCGCCATGCTCTTCTAGGCCCCAAGTGGCCCTGTGATAAGGCCCTTGTGCCCCGAGGCTCAGGTTTCTGAGAGAAGAGTGAGGTCCTGGAGGTGGACACTGGTCCGAATCCAGCTTCATCCTCATCGCCAGTGTGATCTTGGGGCAACTCACTCCATCTCTTGAAGATTATTCGGCTTCCCCTTCTTTGAAAAGGGAATGAGCCTTGGATCTCAAGGGAGAAGAGGGTTTTTGTTTTTGTTTTTAAGATTTATTTATTTATACAAGAACCGGGGTACAGGCCTGAGGTGTGGGAGGGTGAGAGGATTCACCAGAGACAGAGTGGGGAACAGAACAGGCAGACTGACGGAAATACACTGCTGAGGAGAGCAGCGGGCGAGGCAGGAGAGGTCTGCTGCACCATGTGGGATTCTCGCTGGCCGGCCGGGATCAAACCCACTCTGCAGAGGCTGCAGACAGCTTCACAGTGCTGCACTCAACCGCCTGCGCCACCAGGGAGGCCCAGGAGGATTAAGTGAGATAATTCAAGAACTTTGAGGGGAAATGTTTGGAGCTGAGGGCACACAACCCTCAGCCTGGTGTCAGAAGTGAGGAGTCCCGAGACGCAGGGAGTGTGACATTCGGGAGGGCTTCCTATGGCCACACTCCAGTTCTCTGCAAAGGCCAGGAAGGTGAAGCCAAGGAAGTCTGCGCGCCTCACCACCGGAGGCACTTTCCTGTCAGCACAGCCGACTAATCACAGGCAGGGAGGTTGCCAGAAAAGGATGGGCCTGCTTTCCACCACAATGTGTCTGGGGGCTGCTTCTCGGGAATTGGGTCCTCAAATGTGAGACAAGAGCTATTGATCAATCTGAGGACCTGTTAGGTCTCTTCTGCCTCAGAGCACCTGGGTCCCAGGACCAGGCACTGCTTTGCTCACAGGAGCTTCCAGAGGCCTGGTCAAGTCCAGCTCTCCTGCTGCCTTCTAGCTGCCACCTTCCCTAAAGTCAGAACCAAGTCCTACCTTTGCCTTCTCCCTCAAAACCTCCAGCTCCATGTGGTTAATTCCAAAATCCTCTGTGCCCAGCCTTGCCCCTCACCTGAGCCCTTGTTCTTTCTCCTCATTTGCCTAACAGGCTTTTCACTCATAGTCATTGAGTTCACAGGCTCCACTTGCCTAAGAGATACCTAGTCATCCTGCTCCTCAAGGCTAGGTTGCCCTTCTGTGCTCCCCCTTAGCCAGTAGGTCTTTAGGTCTATGGCACCCCAGCTGAGCCTGCCCACCTCGCTGATTTTTATTGCTGAATTGCCTCAGGGCCCTCATTACCAACATAGAGGTTTTTTTCTTTTTAATAATATTGGGGGGGGGAATATAGAACTTTTACTTTTAAAAAGTCAAAATAACGGCCTCACTGGTGGCACAGGGGTTAAGTCTCAGCTCCATGAAGCTATCAGCAGCCACTGCAGCATGAGTTCGATCCCCAGCCAGGTAGGTGACCCACATGGTGCAGCAGATCTCTCCTGTCTCGCCCACTGCTCCCCTCAGCAGTGTGTTTCAGTCAATCCGCCTGTTCTGTTCCCCACTCTGTCTCTGGTGAATCCTCTCACCCCACCCCCCACACCTCTGGCCTATACCCCAGCTCTTGTATGCATAAAAAAATTTTCAAAAAGTAAAAATAACTTTGCTCTAACTGTAGAAAATTACATAAGCTGGGATAAGTAAAACAAATGTTTATATTATGTAAATGTATATATGTTAAAATGAATAGAAACAAAGTATGTGTATATTATTGGTAATGTATATTTGCATCAAGGTATGATCTGAGATAACCCCAGTCACTAACCTTTCTAGGCCTCAATTTCCTTATCTGCAAAATGAGAGCTATGGGATG